GTCGAATAATGATCGATATACATGTATGTCGAGGCTCGTTTCCAGCTGGTCTGATCGGGTGTTTACTTTAACGATTTATTATTAATTATAATTGCGTTAACCTGGCAACGATGCGATTGCGAGCGAAACACGTTTAAAAGAGGTGCGTGCAATCTTATATACCTTTAATTGTATCATATTCATGTAACCGTTCGTCGTGGCAAACGATAAGGTAAACGTTCTGATTCCCGTTCAGGTCCCGACTTCTACTCACCGGCTTATTCTTCTATCATTTTGAGATGATAGGATGACAAATTTTTTTCTACAATTTTAGTTGCTATTCTAGGAAAAATGCTTTTCTATAATTTTATATGTTATCTTAGAGTTATCGAAAAATGAGCCAATGAATAGAAGTTGGGACTTGAACAGAAATCAGATGATCTACTTCAAGTCCGACGACCCTGTCGTTTATTGTCAATGAAAATGAACTCGACTGTTGATCGACAGTTCCGTTATTCAATTACATAGTAAGCACAATTATTATAATGTGAAACTGGAAGGAACTCTTGATATAAAGTGTCGATATCAAGATTAACAGATGTTATAGTTAATTGGCTGCTCTATCAGTTCCTCTGTATTTGATAGACGCGTCTATTCAGTAAGTATCGTTTCAAAATGTACGGAATAGACTCGAGTATAGGCACACGTTTCCTAATGTACAATAATATATATTTTATTTGGAAATCATTCTCAGAGATACAGTGGCCCTACTATTCGGACGCGCTTCACTTCTTTTTAATATTCGACCAATATTAAAAATGTAATTTCGTTACGAAATGTGTCCGAATATCGACGTTGGCTGCTATTTACTTAATAATCGGTTCGATTGTATCGGGGAAAGTAACAAGTTCCGGAAGTACGTACAATGAAAAAGAATATTCCAATGTGCTTATATTCATGCTTGATTAGAGAACGCCACGTAGCAACATGCTTCTTCTATACAGCATCACTGCCGGATTAAGTAGCGGTGGTTTACTATACGTTACTTTTCGATAAAAACATACCTAATTTGTTATTACGAGTCCGAGCATAAAATGCATTGTCCGTATCCTGTATCTTTAGTTGATCGTATAAATTTCTTAATTACATTCATGGAACAGTTACTGTTATTGAAAAGACATCTTCCTCTCGTATACTCACTCGACGCTCTCGCGATGCTACGCACGTTTCGGTAAATTCAAATTGTTTCTCTGTTACCGCATTGTGACCGAGCGTTCCCATCTATTTATTTGAAATCGAGAAGAGTTTGTATTCGAGAGACGAGGAACTAGACGTACAGTGTACTATGAATAGATAGCATAATGAAAATTAATATATAATAAATGAATGGACCTGTACACCACAGTTTTCTTCTCATTTCCATATACGAACTGATAGAAATACGAGAAGTATCATGCTCGAAATTATGAAGGGAATTTTAATATTAAATAGATATAGGAGTGAATTTTCCATCTGGGAAGGTCCTCCTCTGGCCCACTCGTTAAAACTCGGTGACTTATATCATATATCTTCCTCTAAATACTAGTAAGTCTGGAATTTATCACCTTCTTTTATGTCAAGGGGCGCTGCCCGATTTTGCTTACAGAATTCTACAATGTATACCTATTCGATGAAGCATCCTTTATTAAAAAATATAGATATGTACATTTACAATAAGCAGCGTCGCTGAGAGAAAATATGTACAGAGTTAAACACTCGATTTACACGATACATTAGCGTTGAAGATTGGAACTAGACGTGCAAACGTCACAGCTTTTAACAGAGACCAGCCCATTTGTTCTATGTAATCAGGTTCTCTGTTTATATATCTTTTCTTTAATTCGTCGTCTATGTAGACATCTTGTAGTTCCTTGATATTTGTCTCGGCATCGTTTAATATTTCCTTTATAACGTACTCGGATGCTATTACTTCCCGTCCAAGGACGAGATTAAAAAATCGCGCGGATGCCAAAGGACGCAGTATGTATATACTGTTCCCTAGGTTGTCTGATGAATTATTTTTTCCTGGAACATTTGCTCGGTGAGTATTATAACGCGATACATAGTTCATAGGAATATACAGGGTTGCAGATTTTATAATTAGTAAAATCTGAAGACTAAAGATCATTTATCTGCGACCCTGCGAGTATCTGACAGAATGTGTTCGTACTTCGTTTCTCTATTAATTTAAGGCAACTTGAGATAGCAATGGTCATTTGTTGTTGACTAGATAGGATCGGGTGAAAATTCTTCTTTGGAATTTGGAACTCTTCTATTACATATGAACTTGATTCTGGTAATGAACAGGCAATAGACGATGCCTAAAATATAACAGCTCTTGAGGAACAGTGCTTAGAAATGTTACTTGGAAATATCAAGTTCCCAGGTATCTACCAAACTGATTAAGTCGAACGCGTTAACATTTGATGACTGATCGCGCCAGACTATGCAGTCGCAATCCAATACTTTGCAATTGGAATCGATTAATGTCCAAGTTATTGCCGTGGGACCAACGTGTATGGCCAGTATAGTTTTTGGTATCTGAAAAATTTTGAGAATACCTAAAAGAAACGTCGTTGACCAATTGCTTTATTGGTGAAAACTGATAATTTAAGATGATCAAAGAATCATGTCAATTTTCGTATACCATTATTGTCTTTACATCAGGCGTTATCGTAAACGTCTTCCGTTTCCAACGTTGCATTTTATGATCAATTATCAATGAGTAAAATTTATGTAGAATATCTGAATCGATTTCATTCTTTGACAATAGTTCGTTCAATGATTTATATGACCCATCGGTTTTACGATTTGATATTATAGTTTTAGCAAGTGAGTGTTCAATGAACCTGTTAGAGAAAGATTTAAATGATACAGTCAAGGGGTTAATGACGATAAATACTAATTTTGAAGAGATCGTGGCCTCACCTTGCCAATTGCTTTACACTACTGTTATTTACCACAGTCAAAATTTCCTCTTCTTTCTCCAAAAACCATTTCGTTTCAATATTATTGTTATTTTTTCCCTGTTCTGTCACTATAGAACAATTTCTTAATTGCACAAGGCATGTCTTTCTCAAGTTAATTGTACCAGTTAAACTGTGTAATTTTCTCATCATTTTCGCACAGTCTTTTTATCAAATTTTCATTAAACATTTGTTGTCATGAATTTATGCAGTATTTATGTATTAATTTATATCTAAACAGGTGGACAGCGATTTGTAAGAGCCGGTAAGGGCACAGCACCTCAGGTCGGCTAAGTTTCATTCAGTTTCATTCAGTTTCATTTGTTTTCATTCAGACACGTTTTTGATAATTGTAACCAAAGAGGAAATAAAAGCAATGAGAGTGCTCACGCCCGGCTTTTGCGTGTTCTCCATACTAGTGCTGCCCCCAGCTTAAATGCATGTGTATTCAAATACGGTTAATAATATTATGTGATATACATGTTTATATTTTTATTTCGAATTCGAGGGATCTCAGTGATATTTTGTCGAGAATCGGCAGATCGAGGAACAAAGGAAATATAAAATCTCCCGTTATTATAATTTCCAGGTAGTTTTCTAGGCGCCAAAAGAGCAATTTTATGGCTCGGGGTTCGAACTCCCGGTTAGCGACGATATTTTCATTTTCGGCAGTTCGAGGAACAAAGGAAATATCAAATCTCCCGCTATTAACTTCCGGGTAGTTTCTTAGGTGCCAAAATGGCAATTTTATGGCTCGAGGGTTGAAATCCCGATTAGCGACGATATTTTTTGTGATCGTCGCATGCTACCTTTCTGTCGAAGCTTCTTTCTACTTGCAAATAGCAAATATATTATTATTTGTTACGTAGTAGTATACTACGTCTTAAAGACGGTCGTGGGTTAACTTCTTAGGCACTATGCGCCACTATAGTGGCTTTGGCGAATGTCATCTTCCTGTACGGCGCTTCACTATAGAGACGTTCGCGGATGTCATCTCTCAGTACGATGCGCCACTATAGTGGCTTTCGCGGGTCTTTGTGTTCGACCGTGTTTTAAGACGTACCATACTGAATTGTATTATTAATTATTAGAATAAATTGTTAAAGTTAAAATGCGTGTATCATATATTTAAGAAAAATTATAATTTGATCATCAAACACTTCATTAAAATGTACTCGTGTAAAGAAAAGCATTATCCGTCACACTTTGCGGTATCGTATCATTTACGCGTAATTCGCGTTGAACTCCGCCGTACAGAGAAGCAGCACCGTGCAAAGTTCAGCCGTGCCTAAGAGGTTAAGCCGTTTGAAGTAAATAGTTGCGAACGGCAGGCCGAAAAGATAATGGCCAGTATTCAGCGTCGATACTTGTATTTAAGATTGCCTTAAGTCCCTGTTTCCTGTAACAAAAAACAGGGACTGGAAACATAGACAAGGATAGGAATTGCTTAAGACGATCTTAAATATAAATAACGACTCTGAATACAGGCCAATATTTTCCGATATTTGACACTTCTCCGCGTTCGCCCAGGTACAATTTTTATTGCAACTATAAAGGATTATACAGGATATCCCAGAAAAAGTGTTAGAGCCGGAAATGGATGATTTTATAGCTGTTTCTGAAAACCAATTTCCTTTGTCAAAATGCAAAGTGAAGCATGGTATTTGAATTATTAACGAAAAACTCTGATCAATAGAAGAGCGTGCAAGGCCCGCGCTGAGTCACTGCCGAGTGTCACGAATGATTTCTTAATTTCAATCTATTATTATACTTAAAAATAAATAAAGTGAATACGAGTTAAAAAAATAAGCAATTATCAATTTTAGTTTAATAATAATATATTTGCTATTTGCAAGTAGACAGAAGCTTCGACAGTAAGCGCCTCGCTTGCGACAATCACGAAAAATATTGTCAGGGCATAGGTGGCCCCTAACAGGTCCGGATTCGAGGAACGGGACGCGAAATAACCGGAAACTATACTTGCACTTTATACGCTTTTATTTAAATCACTGGACAAACGTAGGATGTCGGGGCGTGGAATCTGGAATTGTCGGGGAATATTGCGTCCCGGTCGTCGTCGGTTGTGTCGGCGCCGTCTGCTCTCGTCCTGGTGTCGCTGACCTTCGTCGATGTACTCTTTAACGCCTTCGACGTTCTGGATTTCTGAAATGTTGCTCAGGCGAATTAGAGTAGAATCTTCGTCGCACTTCGATCCCGTGCGGAATGAGTCGCCGTTTCTGGATAGAACTCTGCGCAGTGGACTGTATTATTTTTCGATGAGTTCAGCGGCTCCACAAGCAAGTCCCTTGCTGTGAAACGGAGCAGAATCACGCTCAACGTTTGTCCCTCCACACCGCGGAACTGGTGGAAGCTCGTAGCAACGAGCTTCAAGTCCCGACCTTATACGGCGCGATGTAACTCACCGCACCAGGAAGGGCCCGAGGATGACAAACTGCGGCAGTGCGATTAACGCAACGTACTGCCCAAGCCGTCAGCCGTTTCTAATTCACTCTTAGAGATGGCCTAAGACGGTGGATTCAGTCTTTCCGATCTATGAACCAGAGTCGAAACGCAACTCCGAAATGTCCAGTTGCTGGAACAAGTCGTGGCTCGTGTTCGCTTCATCGCGAACTTCTTCGTGGCCGCTATTTCTCTCAACCGATTTTCCTTCTAGCTAGGAACCTATATCCTTCTTGCCAAACCGGCTATTGAATACCTCTTATCACGAGTCTAATTATTCCTTATCGATGATCACACCGTGACGATCCGTAGTAGACGCAGACGGAATCGGCGTTCTAAAGCTCGCGCACCGACCTCGGCGCGTGGTATAGAAGAATCGCGCCTATCCATTCTCTCACTTGCGCTTATTCCTTTTTCCCACTCTGCATACCCAAATTTGAATTCTTCGATCCATTAACGGTTGGATGGTGACGTCGGTCGCGTACTAACGACGATCCTCCGTGCCGTTTTTTGTCGCGCAATTCGGCGTGTGTCTCGATATACACTCCCCCTCCGGAGGTCGTATAAAATACCGATGTTGTCGATTTGATATTTTTATCGCGGTCAGCTCGATCCGTACCTTCGAAGAAAAACCTCAATCCGAAGATCGCGCAAAATAACTGACTTCCGCGAATCGAATTTAGTTAATTTTCGATTTTTAAACAAATATTGTCGCCAATAAATTTCGGGATTACGATCTCCGAGCCATAAAATTGTCCATTCGACACGTACTACGATACTATTTGAAATTGAATAACGGAAGATTTGACGCTTTCTTTGTTCCTCGATCTGCCGCTTCTCGAAAAAATCACTAAGATGTTTTGAAGTCAAAATGAAGATATGAATTTTGTTTTTGCCTCAATTCGGCAAGAATTAAACTCAATCTTTAGTTCCGTAACCCCGTTTCTCCTCATATTCGATGCTTACTTATGTAAACACTCTCCTAACAAATATTTATAATTATTAACAATACGAGTGTGAACATTTCGTGATATTAGCTGGTGTTTATTACGTATTTACGCTAGCGTTGAAATGGTTCTTTCGTTCTCTTGTAAGTATATAAACTCTCATTTCCTCTCTGTTGTAACTCATAATGGTAATTATATGTATGAAATTTAAGTTTCATTTGACGATAGAAATTCAAACTGGAAATACCCCGGTGATGGCGGTCAACCAATCCGCAGCCTGCAGCGTGCGTTACGTTTCCCTCCAGAGGTTCGCTAGAGTGGGAAATTTGTTGGTGGGAGGGATGTGTAATGCGTTTCTTTGGCCGCCTTGCGGCAGAATCCGTAGTCGAATGCCAGTCAAGTGCAGTCGAGTGTCGAGTGCCGAGTCGCAGATCATACGGTGCATTGGAACTCGAAGACATTTGACTTTATGAGTGTTCAGGCCATTTTTATTTATATGTGGTGTGGGGTAACAAAGTTGAACAAAGTGTGTAACATTGTGGGATTTATAATTATCGAAAAGTTGATCGAAAGAAACACTCCGTTTTGCAATGTAATTGTAATATAAAACGTTCGATCGTTCGTAAGACAAAATCCTGATTATCACGCAAGTTATACAGAGTTATTAATGTAATTCCTGAACCGTCGTGTTAGTGGTAATAACTGCAGATTTTTCTGTAATTGCAACTCGGATAAAATGGATTACCGTCAAAAGGCAAGTACAAACACGTTCTGCACGTCGAAAGTTCATTATTTAATTCTTAGCATTGTACGTAACCCGACATTGTACTCCAATCGCGTGTAGCAGTTGCTAAGAATTGTTTAAAAATTGACAATGTATGCGTTAATTCACACTTTCACACTACCACCTATTGATTTCTGCAATGCGTACATTTTATTTATACTTCGAACGTAATTGCACGAGCATTATCTTCTGTTGTATATTTTGTATAATTGTATGTGATTGAAAATCGATGAAGAGTTTTAAGCTTGAAACATTGTTTAAACATGAGCAATTATGTGAGGAACGTATGTGATCATATTCATCGATGATAGGTCTTTCATTTCTATTCTACATACTGATTTAGGATTTGTCTGCTTTTAGATGATTTTACCTTCCCAACATAATATGAAGCACGATGACGAAGACGATGAAGATTTGGAGGCTCTGCGCCTTGCAGCTCTTAAGTCATTAAGAACTAAAGACACTGTACATACTAAAAAACAGCCACCGGCACAAAAAATAATTACAGATGTAATGCAAATGTCTCACTCGTCATATAAAGGTCAGAGACCTTTGAGAAGAGGATATTTTCATAATCGTATGCAGCAGCGACAGAACGGAGTAAGTTAAATACTTTTGTAACGTTCATTCGTATATAGATTATATACGTTGTAATTAGACTGTGAACGTTCGTGCATCAAAATAATTTATAATATTGGGGAGAGAATAAATGGTTAAAAATAGGAATATGCATGAACATCCGCAGTCAAATTATTATCGACTATAAACATAGCCTTTAAAAGAAACCATGTTTTCGTTTGCAGAATTTATATTATCAAAGCCCACGTAATCCAAACCTGATAGCAATAGTTCCTGTAGATGAACGTTCTGTGCTACAGCAGACTGATTTGACTTCTTTAGTGGAAAAGACTCCTCCTCCAAGCAATGAATCTTACTCTACAGGTTTGTACGATCTTTTATAGTAAATAGAGGCGTGAGAGAACCTGAATTCGAAAGAAATAATCGGGATGAGTATTTAATATTATAACTAATATTATGTATTCGTATTTAGGAGTATCGAAATTTCATCGATTTAAGGACAATGGCAGTGGTTCAGACGAGGACGACAATAAAGAACAAAGAAATGTAGTTATCGAGTCAAAAACTTATGAAAAGGATACCGTAGATGTGAAATCACCTACGATAACTGAAAACCAGATTGAAACTAGCAAAAGTGCGAAGAAGCTTGACGAAGATCAAGAGGGGAACAATGACGACGACGATGATGTTCTTTTAATGGCCGATCTCGAAGAGGAAGACAGCTTAGAACGCTTGATGGACGAAATGGAAAGAGAGATGAATGTTGACAAACCGTCTGAAAGAAAAGAAAAGAAGGGTAGTAGAAAAGAGGGGAAAGAGTGTGTGAAAAAGGATGACTCGTTGAAGAATGCAGGACAGAGGAACAGAACAGAAGATAATAACTTTCGGAAAGAGAGTCACAGTCCATTACCAGCTGCAACTGTTTTAAGAAACGAAAGACGGTCTATATCTCCGCATACGATCAACCGAATCTCGCAGAGACGTAGATCTTTGTCACCGAGATCACGATCGAGGAAAAAATCACCCAGACGATCTCCGAGAAGATCGCCCGTTAGGCAATTGAAGAAGTCTCAACGAGAGCTGACGAGATATAGGTCGCCACGGAAGTCTCCAGTACGATATTCTCCACGTTCGCGGTCACCCAAAATGTCGCGGTCGAGGTCACCGCGACTGTCTCCACGTAGATCTCCGAACAAGTCCCCGACGAGGAGATCACCGATGAAAAAATCGTCTCCGAGAGGAAGATCTCCGAAACTGTCGCCGCATTCCAGATCTCCCAGACGTTCACCAAAAATCTCGAAGTCCCCGAGATTAGCACGGTCGCGCACCCCGAAATTCTCACCCCTCAGATCATCACCTCATTCTCGATCACCTAAAGTATCGCCAAGACGCATCTCGCCTTCTCGTAGATCATCACCGAAATCGAAATCCCCTGGACTGTCTCCACGGAGAGGATCGTCGCGTTTGTCACCGAAAATGTCGCCGAGAAGAATGTCGCCTCGAACGAGGTCACCGAGACCGTCGCCACGCCGATCACCGTGGTCGTCGCCGAGGAACTCACCCCGCATGTCTCCTAAGCGAAAGAGATCACCGAGATGGTCGCCTAAAGAATTATCTCGGAAGCATCCGCGATCCATCACTCCAGACAGGAACAGTCCGTTGTACGCCAAAGATCCATCGCCGACGATTAAAAGTAGAATATCCCCGGAAGTGAATCGTGCAAAGACGAAACAAAAAGAAGATTTAGATGAGACTGCTTCTATGGAAAAAGAAACTGTCGACGTGATCAGTGACTCTGTGCTCGAAGCCAGACGCAGGAAGTTCGAGTCCACGAGGCCTATAGATCCAATAAACGCGAACAAAAAGATCAAGTTGAGTAAAAAGGATAATACGAGTAAGAAGGTAGAATCCTTCGAAACTGGTGATGTTCAATCGAGCAACGCGAGGAAGATGAACAAAATTCCAGAGGACTATGATGTTCAGGAAACGGACTTGTGTCTGGATACCCATTACGAGTTCGAAGATTTCGAGGAAAGCGTGGAAAACACGTCTCCCATTGGCATTACTAGCACTGTTAATTCGTGCATGGATTTAGAAAGCCAAAATCCGGAGAAAGAGAGATCGTCGAAGAAGAAGAAGAAACGCGATAAGGAATTGTACCAAGTAGGAAAATTAAAAAGCGAGCTTCCTCTCTCGGAGCGTATTGGGAAAGACAAAAAGTGCAAGAAGCGCAAAGACCATATTTCGGACGGCTCCAGCGAAGACATGGAAGCGATCTTTGAAGATTTGGTGGTCGACAAAGAAAGTGACTTGAGAACCGAGCTGAGTAGAAGGCGTGCAGAGAGATTGAACAGGACGGTCCCAATTCAGTCTGCGAGATTAGTACAATCTGCTTTTAAAGGAGTAGTTAATGAGTAAGTATTTCCCTTGCATCTACAATAGAGAGACTAAAACAACAGAGATTCAATTCAGAATTTTCATAACAACTAAATTTCTTTTACAGAGTTGTCAAGAGTAACGCAAAAGTGAATCAAAGACATTTAGTTAAAGCAGATGAGAAATGTAAATAATCAAAGACCTACAATATATATTCTGTATATATAAGTGAACTAACCGTCTGACTTTATGTATTCTTGTGTTTCTTCAGCTAATCAAAAAGCAGTTAGACGGGTCACCGTTCTTCACAGGCCAATATCTAAAATACATGATTCAGAAGGTTTGTATTCTCTCCATAATTTATTTCTAAAAACTATTCTGTTCTCTAAAGAATTTCACTTTTGTAAATGATATAAAAACCAATAGATCTCTTCAGCTTCGTGGATTAATCGTATGTATAATATTTCTGTTTACAGACGAAAGTACTCTAGATTCAAAGGTGCCCGTGCGTTTTCGTCTGGGCTTGAATAAGCAAGACGCGAGGGATACGAAAGTGTCACGGAAGGCGTCTAAACGGCAGGGACGCAAGGTAAACCATAAAGTTAATTTGGTTGTAACAGATTCCGAGCATATGTCATAGTATAAAAATTGTACCTCGTTCAAAGTGTACATAATAATTCATATACTCGAATTTCTTTAGATGCATAATGATTATGCATAATTTCTGACGATTGTAACAATTTAACGAAGTTCTACATTTACACACGTGCCAGTATACGTTATTGGTGTTTTCTGTTAAATTAATTGCATCGATCGACTTAACTGTTAATTATCATTTTTGAGTATTAGCAGTAATGATAATAAAAAAAAACAGAGAAAGTTTGGACTATTGGATTACGATGAATCTGTAATATATGTTTCGCATTTGCAATAATAAATTTGTGTACACTTGACTGTTTCTCGTAGTACCGACGAAGGCTAACAGAAATCATTATAATTCAGTATTTACGTGAGAGTTAAATAAAGGCATAAAAATCTTTATTACAATTTTTGCTGTTAATGCAACAGTAGGATACATGCACATATAATTTCGATATAAAAATATACACGTATGTACAAGGTATATGTATGTATACAGTACGTGCAAATATTTATATTTATACCGAAATCATATAACATGTGACAGACTAAAAATATTTCTCGGACCACAAAGATTTCATTTTGTCTTAAGACATTATTTTGAAACTTTACAATTTTTTTATATCATAAAACTGAATCATGACGCTACACACAGAACGGGAACGCGTGCGCATATACATATAGCAC